TTACTTCTTTTACCTTGATTTAAATAGATGGGTCCTGAATCTTAGGGAGATCAATGAGAGGGAATTAAGATTACTAAATGAGTATAACTAATTTGTTCCTTAATCCGTTATAGATTTAGGGCAACGAGAGTCTCATTTAATTCACATAGCAAAAACAAATTTTCCAACATAATAAAAATAAACCCAGTGTATCCGAATCCTAAAGGATGAGGCTTTTAGAAAGATTTGTTGCAGCCATCCCTACCCCTTTTATCTGCTATTCACCATCATGCTGTTATCTTCAGGCATGTTCTGCAATTATTACATACCCCACTTTCCTTTCTTTCACTTGGCCTCCATTACAATGTTGAAGATTATAAAGTAACCATTATCTAAACCTTGATTCAGTCATTTTATTTATAACTGATGCCACAGCAGGAAGTCATGACTTAATAGTGTGCCTGATAGCCTGGCTTCAACTACTACTCCGGAAAAAGTAAACAATTTGTATTATTAGATATATCAAATAAGAAGAAAAAGAATATAACAAACGATACGGCTTCATAAACACCAACATCAGTAATCAAACATCAAATAACCAGTAATACTTACAAAAGTATCAGAAAATCTTAATTTCGTCTCAGAAAATTAAAGCTTTCTTAACCAAATTACACATTTTTTTATTATGTTACACATGGCAAGAAGGTACGATCAGATGGGATTGGGAACTCGTGTGGGCAGTGATAATATATAGATACGACAAGGAGTGACATCTTAATTACATAGATAAACAAATCTAATTTAGAGGTACAAACGGCAGGTACATTTTCCTGGAAAAGGATTTCAGTCTAGTAGAAAGAGATCAATCAAACTCGTGAAAAGAATATTCATATGAACATGTAAGGGAAGAGAGAGAATGAGGCATGCAACAAAACCCCGATAACTGAATGAAGAAAACTTACCAAGAGCAATTTGCATCTTATCAGTAATAAAGAGACGAGGCTTGGAAACTCTATCAGCAAATGCATCCAGTATTTCTTCCATCCTCCTTATAGAAGTTCATAACATGGATACAGTTAAAGATCAATAATCTTCACACCATCACATACTGAATAGCAAAAAGACAACAAAATATCACACATGCTCCAAAGAATAATAGTCCAAGTCCATGATGCACAATGCGAGCAGGCAATCTATATATGGTGCATATTCTAATTTCTAACAAAGGAACTTAGTCTAGTCAGCTGCAAACATTTTTTTTCCAAGTTCTATGTTATAGTGCCTGTTAACTAGTTCGAATCATGACGCAACTGTTGTAATTCACTAAAAAAATTGGAGTAGAGAAATCATTTCCGGCAATGGAGTGTTTCTAAGCCTGTAGATTGCCTCTTTGTGCATAAAACAAAAAAGTAATACACTCATTTGCTAATTTACACAAGTTTATATTGCCTCATTATACTTCAATGAGCGATATAAGACAATGTGTGGTAAAATATGATCAGATCATCAAAGTAAATGGAACCTCGGTAAAGTCCATGATAATGTATTTAATATGAAGGTTATTAAATATAATTGTATTCTACCAAATTCAAAACCGCATAAAAGTAGTTTTCCATCTTAGTTCTTGGTTCTCTGAATCTCTAAAAACAAATGACATTTGTCAAAGTTGTCAGAGTCACGAATGCTATAAGAAGCTCCCCAAACCAAACTTCGACCCAAAGACAATTAACTGCAAGTGGAAAATGAGCTTACTTGTACAGTCTCCATAACAGAACCCGTAGAGCTTCTTGAAAGGCAACGGAGGTGAGGATGAGAAGCGCGTACGGCCACCACGCAGTGGATTTGAAGGGGAGAAACACTCTCCAAACTGCTGATAGTGCGATGAGAGTCATCAGCCACGCCAAAGTACTTCCGATTAAAAGAAAACTGGTTACGACTCAAAATGCCACCATGTACATAGATAATAACCCAACAAGTTGAAACAAAAACCTGGAAAGAAGGGTGAGAATGAGAAAGGGCTTGTGAGAAATGACGGCGATGAAGAGTGAGAGAGAAGGGCCGAGCGCAACCAGCGCGTAGCCGATCCCCGCCGCCATCGTCATCTTCCCTCCACCTGTTGCTGTAATCCAACAATTCTTCCGCACAAATTGTAGCTCTGCTTTGTCTAGTCCCTAAGGCTGTGTTTGTTTAAAAGGAATAATTTACAAAAAGTGTTATAGTCGGTTAGTGGGATTTTGAGTTTATATTAAAATAATATTTGAAATAAAATAATTAAAATTAGTTTGATGTAAAAGTAGGAGGAGAGATAATATGAAGTGATGGTTAGTTAAAATTATGTGAGTAGATGAATAGTAAATTAAAATTGATATGATGTATAAAAATGATTGGTTGCAGAATTCTAAATGCACGCTCAACATCTTTTCTACACGCCTCTCATCTCATTTAAAGTATTCCTCCATTAGAATTGATGGTGCAACAAAAGCCTGAACAATAGTGGACCATTTTAGATATATACCATCTGCTAAATAATAACTCATATTAAACTGTTTACCTTGAATGGTGTAATTAGCTGGTGGAGCGATACCTTCAGCAAGATTTGACATTAGAGGTGATGCTTCCAGCACATTATTGTCATTATTCACACCTGGCATACCAAAATATGTGTGTCATATCCATAGATCATAATCTGCCACAGCTTCCAAAATGATTGTTGGCTTTCCGGAACGTCCAGCGTATTGACCAGCCCATGCCTTAGGGCAATTTTCTCATTCCCAGTGCATGCAGTCCGAGCTACCTAACATACCTGAAAAACCACGTTCACCAATATGAAGCAATCTAGTGATATCATCGTGATTTGGTGATCTCAGATATTGTACTCCGAAAACTTCAACGACTCCACGGCAGAATCTCTTCGCGCATTCATTTTTCAATGACTCAGCAATAAGATATTCATCGACACCATCTGTTGGGGGTTTTATAGGCCAACTGACGAAGCGCCACTGTCCCTTTTGTATATGTTGACAATCCAAGTCGACCAAGACCATCCCGACGTTGTTGGAAAAAACTATCAAGATTTTCCAATGCTCGCATAACATGCTTGAAATTATGAATAGAAATCCGAAACCTTCGGCGAAATGTATCTTCATCGTAGGTTGGAATACTACTAAAATAATCTCGAACGTGCGATGGGCTTTCTCCCGATCACATACTCTATGTCCTGGAGCAGAACCTCCCCAAGTTGGTTGGCTACTTTGCGCAGAGATAGCATGTGCCATAAAAAAATTGTTGGTTTGCAATATATGAGTGGTGGTTGAATCCAAAATGTTATAAAAAAGAAGTAATGAAGCATTTGCATTTTCCTCATCAGAATCATAATTATAGGGAAGAAGATAATTCATTATGAATGATATTAGAGGGCAATATTACAGAAATATTCGACAATGAATGTAATATGTAGCTTGGATGGTATGATGTATAGTTTCATGTTTATATAAATGAATGAATGCATAAAAGAAATAAATATGTTATTCATTGGATTCTTTTGCAGACAAGGCCATGTGAAGTGAACAAAACTGACCAGCAAAATGACAAGTGCAATAAGTTCAGACAAGTCCATGTGAAACTTTATTTCTTTACAATGACAAATGGTACATCTAACCATTGGATTCTTTCCGAACAAGACCATGTGAGTGAACAAATTTGACCAATATAATGACAAATGCAATAATTTCGGACAAGGCCATGTGAAACATTATTACTTTACATATTTTTGGGCAATGACAAATGGTACATCTAAACCATTGGATTCTTTCCGGATAAGACCATGTAAGTGAACAAATTTGACCAACACAATGACAAATGCAATAATTTCGGACAAGGCCATGCGAAACATTATTACTTTACATTATTTTTGAGCAATGACAAAAGACAAATCTAAACCATTGGATTCTTTCCGGATAAGACCATGTGAGTGAACAAATTTGACCAACACAATGACAAATGCAATAATTTCGGACAAGACCATGTAAAACATTATTACTTTACATTGTTTTTGGGCAATGACAAATGATACATCTAAATCATTGGATTCTTTCCGGATAAGACTATGTGAGTGAACAAATTTGACCAACACAATGACAATACAATAATTTCGGGCAAGACCATGTGAAATATTATTACTTTACATTATTTTTGGGCAATGACAAATGGTACATCTAAACCATTGGATTCTTTCCGGATAAGACCATGATTCATGTAAATGAACAAATTTGACCAACATAATGACAAATGCAATAATTGCGGATAAGGCCATGTGTTGCCATTATTACTTTACATTATTACTTTGCATTAAATTACTTCGCATTGGATTCTTTTGAATTGGATGACAAAAGAATAAAAAATTAATTTGCATTGAATTATTTGTATTGGATTCTTTTTTATAGTCACTATACTTTTTATGCATGTGAATTCGTTTCTCTATTTATAGATCACACTTCAAGAAGCAACGACACATATATCTCATTTCTTCTTCCATTATTGTAGTCTTCTTGTTCCACTCTTCTTGAATATCTTGTTTTCTCTAAAATGTCTTCAAAAGGGCCAAAATATTCCAAACCAGAAGATGTCTTAATTGTGAGATGCTACATAAGTGTTTCACAAAATCCAATATCATCAAATGATCAAAGTTCTTCAACCTTTTGGAAAAAAATACATGATGAATATAACTCCAAAAAACACAAGGATTTACCAGAACGCTCTATAAGGTCTCTTGACTCTCGTTACTGTCTCATGGAAACTCATTGTCGGAGTTTTAATGGATGCTTGAAGCAAATCGAATATCACAATCCTAGTGGGACACAAATCCAAGATAGGGTGAGTATTTTGTTTTAAGTTCAATCTCGGTTCATGTTATTTGCTTGTTTTATAGGTATACTTACAATTATACATTTTTTACTTTGTTTGTAGATTGAGCAAGCTGAACAATTGTTTGAACAAGACCCAAAATATAAAGATGACTTCGAGTTCCAATGTGTTCCGACTATTCAAAGAGTTTGGAAAATTTGATGATAATGTCTCCCAACCACGATCTCGTCGTTGGGATTTCGATACACTCAATGCCTCTTCTGAGTCCGACGTTCCATATGACGGACAACCAACACCAAGGTCTCCGGGATTGTCGTCTTTTAGTCCTCAACAAAGTGACGATGGTGTTGGTGGAACATCCTCTCAACGTCCAATGGGAGCGAAGAAAGCAAAACTAAAGAAGAAAAATGAAGACCATATTTGTCAATATTTTAATACTCTAAATGCTAAAAGTGATACTATTGTTGATTTGTTGAAGAAAGCCGAAGAACGTCAAAATGTCCAGCTTCAATTGCAGAAACAACAACTTGATTTACAAAAAAAGAGGGATGAAGATAGAATTTTGATGACAGATTTGAATTCCCTTACGAATCCCATAATACGTCGACATTGGAAATAAAAACAAATGCAAATTTTACAAGAAAGAGAAATTGAGCAACAAGAATCTCAAGCAACACAACCATCATCTAACACGGGTCAATTTGGATTTCTTGACAATATCGGGCATGACGGAGGAAATTTCAATAATTATTATGGTGACAATTAAGTCTATGAAATCGTCTATTTTATAATTCTTTTTTAGTATTAATTTTTATGTTCTGTATTAAATATTGTTGTTGTAGTATGTGTGAGCTTTAAGATGAGTTTTTTAGTTTATCTTTATGTTGTGATTTTAATTTTAGTGTTTGTACCGTTAATTTTAAGTGAGTTGAATGTTTATCCTTATTTTGTAATTTTAACTTGTTTGTTTGAAATATTTATTTAAGTGAATTTAAGTACTAATTAATATTCTAGCATATTAATTAATAAAAATATTCAATTTTTCATTACACTACTTAAAATTCTACCATATTAATTACAATAATTAAGTTTAAAGCATTTATAAAAATATTTTAATTCAACTCATAAAACTAATTAATTCAATTAGTCCAATTGCAGTTAAAAAAATCCCAACTACAATACATCATTTAGGCCCAAAATATAACCCAATTATATTTTTAAACAAAAAATAAAAAATAAAAAAGCGGAAGAGGGTGAACAGTGGAACGACGTGGGGACCGTTCCACAAAACCAAGCGAAGCGTTTCCGGCAAATGAAGAGAGCCGGTTGGAGATGGTTTTCCTCCAACCGTGCCGTTTCCTGCAGGTATGAAGGGCCGGTTGGAGATGCTCTTAGGAAATCTTGATCAATAATCCAATGGAAGAGATAAGCTTCGTCGTAGAGAGAAATTGGAATGGGAAAATTTCACGACTGTAGTTTCTTTTACAAAACACAGTACGAAACAATTTTTTGAGCGTAACCAAAAGGTAATTTATTTATAAATTTTTTTAACTTTTAATCAATCTATACTCAAAATCTAATTAACTTTAATTAAGTTCTATTATCTTCAATATTATTACTATAATTAAATAATATCAACAAGGCATTTTTACACATCATATCAATTTTATTCAAAAAAGCATTTGATATTTATTTGTTTATCAAATAAAGAATATCAATGCTATATACACTTTAAGATTTGATATGCACATTATTTATTAGTTAAAGGAATTCAATGCATTGCCCGTAAATTTACAAATTTAATTATCATATTCATATTTAGGACTTTGCATATTTAGAATCATATTTCAAAATATTCAAAATTATTTAAATAAACCAGAAAGTCCAATTATATATTAATTACATAATTGAGAGCAATTTTTAATTAAGAAATGTTTGTAAAAAATATTTCAGTACAATTTTCGATTAGCAAAATTGTATATAGATATTAAACAAATAATATTTCTGTTAAAATAAGAGTTTTAAATAATGTCTTCATAAGATGTGAAAACCAAAAATAATCATAAGGGTTTGAAAGGGTCAAATAATTTGGGCTGTTTGGGCATGCTTCTTCATTGGTAATTGTTGGGTTGGGGTTATGAAATACATTTGTCTAATATGACTAACTATTATCTATTTTTTGGACAAGTTCTTGAAGGAAAACCGAATATGAGAACTGAAATGAAGGAAAAATAACCAAAAATTGAAAATATCATGACACATTTACTATTAACCGAACCAAACCGGGCTTATTTTTGTTTGATCCGATTCCGTTTTGATATTTCCAGTTATAATTGATCCCTAATTTATCTCATGAATTTGTTATAATTACTCAAGGTTACAAAAAATATATTATTGCAATATAGTAATTCATATGCAAGTGTTGACTGCCAAGGTCGACAAATTATGAGGAGCCCACTGTTTTTATTTATCAAAAGAAAAATATATTTTAGTATTATTTGATTTTTAAAAATTGAGTTTTATTTTCATTTATTTCCATACAACTATGTATTTTTATCTTGTTTCTCTATATGCGAAATAATCATGATAAAATTAATTAATACGAATTGTTAATAAAATAATAAGTTTTTATGTTTTGTTCTTTTACTTTGTTTACTCGATCAATCTAAATTTTTAATTCCTTATATGAATATAAAAAATATTTGTTGTGTGTATAGAATTCAATCATATTAGCGTAAAGGTGTATATTAATGAATCTTGAGGTGAGTTATGTGAATTTAATTATTTTTAAATGCGTGTTTTAATTTATTTTTTATTTGGTTTTTATATTTTTCAAATGGTTTATTGAGTATTTTCCAATAAAGATTCATTAAACTAAAGTTGACTATCATGGAGTACAAACTGTAAAATTAATTTAAACTATATGATTAAGTTTAAAGAGAGTTTGAAACTTTGGTTTATTATATGTTCATATGTTTTTTACATACAAAGTGTAAAGGTGATCAATTCATCTTGTTATTTTTTAAGTATTTTTTTTTTCAAATTAATTTTTCAACTTGCCGCCCTAGAAGTTTGAGGTCGTGCCCGACCGTTTTGGCCCACTTACACAAATACCTGAAGGAAAAGGGATCAGTGTTGTTAACTATGCTCGTCATCAGAATGGTTATACCATGGGAGGGACCATCTTTCAAAAATGAACCCGGACGGGATGAGATCGGTCGAGTGGTCTTAGTTGGATGGGAATCCCTTAACCCCTCCGGTCTAGGGCACTATGAGTGTGGTGGGAACAAGAGTATTTGATCACTAATCAAGGGGGCTAGACGTCGGCATTCCCACTCCTCTCTCTTCCAGAGATGCATGCACATCATTCACCCGATCCATACATTCGATCCTTCCACACCCGAGAAACCCAAGTCACGTTGCAGGGCTTGGGCTTCCTCCCCTTTCAGAAAGAATGTCCTACCCCAGGGTTAGCCTCTTCAAACCATTCAAAAGTTATAGCACTTTTACCCGCTGTCAATCTTCTATGAAGCTGTAGCTAGTAAGGGGGGCAATCGTATTGGTTCCAATCATCATTCCTAACCTCCATCTTCCCCTGAGCGTCTGGACTGCACTGAGTGCCTGGACTGAAAGGATTCTCTTTCGCCATAAGGAGAGTACGAATGATTTCAGAGTAAGTACTTGGACAGTGACAGGTAAAGGCTTAACCCATTGAAACGGTGATCCTCATTACCCGGCATCACTAGCTGGGATGTTCTGCTAGGCTATAGGCCTAAGAGCGGCAGCTGCTATCGAGCCTCCTAATGTTAATGTCCCTTACAGTACGGAAACACCTGCGCTAATTAATTTATAATTGTTTATCTTCACTCATTTTCTATCATAGGATATTTTTTTTTTAAATAAAAACATTACGAACTATTTACCACATTTAACCCAGGTAATAAAAATTTCAAGGAACGGCTGTGACGTAAATTAAATAATTTATATTTATATTTTTATATATAATTTTTTTTTATTTTCTACACAATATAAAATTTATAAAATATAATATGATCATTAATCATTATTTAACTTATCTAAGTTATGATTATAAATAGTATATACACACATATAATATGAAATTTTTTTGTTTATATATTTGCATGTCTAATTGATTTGAAACTGTTTAAATTTTGATTTGAAATATATTTCAATAGTTGTTAATATATATATATATATAAACATATATATATATATATATATATATATTTTCAAATCAAAATATGAATTTAATGTAAGCGGACTAGTACGTAACCCGTGTGATGCACGGGATGTAAAATTTGGAAGAATAATATAACCTCACGTGCATTAGGATCGAAATTGAAATCATTAAAATATATAGGAATATTGTTGAATCATAAAAAGTTCGGTAACAATCATATATTATTAAAAACCTCCTTGTACACAACATTATGAGTTTGATTATTTGGTAACTCCTCACTATCACAAACTAATATTTTCAAAAGAGACGAATCCTAAAAATCAAACTAATATTTTTGGTGAACAAACTAATATTTTAGGATTGGTGAACAAACTAATATTTTAGATTTCTAGGATTTGTCTCTTTTTGGTGAACAAACTAATATTTTAGGATTGATTATATGAATAAGGCTACCTGTTTTCATTCATTTTCATTCAAACAATCCGATGACTTGTATAATGAAATCCGAATCTTAAGCCGAAATATTTAAAAAAAGAGTTTTTAAAAATTGAAAAGTCAAGGCAATCAGTTCAGATTAATTAAAGGTCAAAGAATATCCGCTCCTTGAAATAAAGACGTGTGCTATCATTAACCAAATATCCTGTTATTGATATAGAGTGGTTACCAAAAATTAGAACGTCGATAAGGATGCTTCATAGAAATATCAATGGGATAAGGTCAGATCGCTATACATTTTAAGCTCAGATGAAATGATTTATGATAATTATGTCGTAATTAATGAATTAATTAGATGTGTGAAAATGACATAATTAATGAGAAGTGTGATGAGAAGTGTGAAGAGGACATAAGAAGTGTGAAAAGGACAAAAACTTATCAATTTTTGAAAATATTTAATGCAAATTCGACATTAACCATAATTTGACCTATTATTTTGGATAAATGTTAATTCTTATTATGTAAGTATAAATTTCTAATTCAGTAAATACAAATGAGAGAGATTATTGGGTTTTCTGAACTTGAGTTTTTGGCATCAGAGTTTCTCCTAGCTCAGGGTCGCCTTTTCGAAGCTTCATCGTCGATGACGACGTTTCGAGCCCTAGCTTGACGATCCTTTATTTGCTCAGCTCTAACCACCGAATTCTGGTGATTCATATCATACCCACTTTGGCATTTGCGTGAAATTCTAATTGTTATGTGCTTTTAAGTACTCATATTTTTTTCCCTGACTGTAGTCTGGGCTGTAGATTTTCAGATCGTAAGTGGGAATACAGAATGCAGCGTCCGCCATCGACTGTGGAGGAGCAGTTGATACTAAAAGCAATTGGAGAAGAATGCATGTGGGAGGGCCTCCCCAAACGCCTGCAATCTACTTTGAATTCTAAGGAAGAATGGCATCGAAGGTTTAAATTTGTATTCTCATGCTTCATCCTGCTTTGCATTTCTCTGGTTATATGATAGAACACTTCTCTGGTGGGAATATGGGTGAAAATTTTGAAGTGCTATCATCATTGATTTCCCGAGTAGCTGCGGCTGGGGTACTAAGAGTGGGCCTAGAATGATTCCATCCAGTGTAGATTTATTATTATCATGTGGAATTTTGCTATATTTTGAGTTAGAGAGTGGATATTGATACAATTTTACACGTGTTAGCTTAGTGTTACTTGGTATGATCTTCAATGCTTCTCTCTGTTCAACCGGATTGTGTCTGATGACATTTTGTTTATTGAAATAATTCTTTGGTCGGTGTAGTTTATATTCGCTGCAGGACATGTGCGGAACGGATCGTTACTATAGGCCTAACTGGTTATTAAAACTTAAATTGAACCGGATTGCCGCAAAAATCAATCTCCTTATAGTTTGTAGAAAGAACATGACTTTCAGAGAAGTTGCAAAACGAACCAACACTGGTATAATAACTTGTCAGTAATTCTTGTCGGCAACTGTACATTTGACATATGCCTTCTCATTTTTTTGCACTTAAAAAGTTCGTCTTTACTGAAACTCAGTTAAAATTAACGATTTAGTTTGCCGTTAACTCTTATTATTGTTATTATTACCATTGCCATCATTATTACTAACCTGCTGCTATTATTGTGTTTGTTATAATTATTTCATGTTGGAGAGTGACTCTGGTGCTGAAAGTTTCTATTATGTCGACTTATTTATATTAAATTCTAATTGGTTTAGCTCAATTCATTCATTCTTATAATGCAGGATAATTGACCATTGTATCAAGAAAAGACTCTCCTGGAGTGCTTGCTTTGCTCGGAAAGTATGCAAAGAGGGTGAATATTATGAAGAACTGATGCGTTATCTTCGAAGAAATTTAGCGGTGTGCTTCATGAATAAACCATCATCCATTATTTTGTGTGTGCTAATTAATTGAGGCTAGTAGTAGTGAAATTGCTGGTAAATTTGCACCCAATAGAATGTCAAGTTGATCATGGATTCCCCCTGGAAACTATGAGATTGACTAAGAGCTTAAAAATTTAAATTCTCATGTGAGGCTGCTGCAGTTGGAGAAGATAAGAGTAAACGGGATAATCGAGAAGCATAACTTAATCAGTATAATATGTCAATTAATACCCATGAACTTTACCGGAGAAAATTAAATCCTTCTATAGAATGCTATGTTTNAAGAATCTGATAGCATATTGGATGCCTTTGTGACGTTATATATATATACACTTAAATTGGTTTTCTGTTTCAGAAAAAATAATAGCTGTCAAACAGTTGACTATATAATGTAGTGTGTTGACGTTATATCAATGTTCAGCTTATATTTTTTGGTGTTACAATTGACTTCTCATTGATTTTGCAGCTATTTCCTTACCATCTTGCGGAATATGTTTGCCGTGTTATGAGAGTTTCTCCCTTCAAATATTACTGTGACATATTGTTCGAAGTGATGAAAAATGGTATGAAGATGCCAAAGACCTGAGCTTCCTTAATCTATTCCTGCAATGTCTGCTTTCAGTAGTCCTTACAAATTTATTCAAGTTAAACTTCACTTGCTATCTGACTGTACAAACATAACTGTATATGGCATTTTATATCAATGGAGGTGAGTTTAACTCTATCTCCCTGACCTGTGGTTGATTCACGGTTTGCTCGTGTATGCTTAAACCCTTTATGCACTCTAATTTGTTTCATTTGTGTTTTTTAATTACCTTCCATCTGCATTTTAACAACTCTGAAGTAATAAATTTATGATGGACTACTAATGATTCATGATCTAAGTTCTATTAGCACATATGAAGTACTGTATTCTTGAAAATAATATACGATTCATGTAATATTAGTAGTCACCATTTGGTTACTTGTACTTCACCTATATAGTTATTCGTTTTCAAAAAATGCGTGATTAATATTGTATTGATGCAGTACTCTAAACTCTAAAGTCCAAACAGAAATGAGGATCCAAGCATGTCAGTAATTGTGAAGTTACTCTCTTGCTTCACTAAACTGTGCACTTTCTTTAATAGGGACGTCATTTTTTTTTGGGAGGAGATTAAATATATTATGAATATAATAATTAAAGTTTATTTAAATAACAATAGTAAACTAATGGTTGGTCTATAGAAATATGCGTGTCCATGAATAGTGAAGTTTGTAGGAAATTGTGTATCAGTTGTCAGTCCTTTCTTAAAAATTATTTAGATGAGATTCATGAAAAAAAAAAAGTTAGAATGAATCAATAGTGTATCATGGTGACCCTATTAGGTATCCTGCAATGCTGTTAGTAGCTTAAACATGACCAGTCTCTCAGAGAAAACGTAATCCATGGTTTGCGCAGAATTAGTTCTATATGAGCTGCTGCACCTTTATCTCTATGCGGGTAGCGATCCACTTTTATTTGATTGAGAACCATAAATTCTTCTAACTTCCATGTTATATTTCTTTATTATATTACATCTTACTTGTCGAACTGGTGTAATAGCTTGTTATATAAATGGTAATGAAAATATTGTATTATTAAATTGATGTGGTTTTTTCTACATTACATTTCAGAACAACCCTATGACAGCATTCCTAACTTTAGTGCGGCAGATGCGCTGAGGCTCACAGGGATTGGAAGAAACGAATTTATTGATATCATGAACAAATGCAGATCTAAGGTAGGGGTTTAAGAATAGTTCATGACTGCTGCTCTATACATATTAAATAGTCATTATATATATGATAAATCACCATATTAATTTAGATGCTATTATTCTTGTTTTCTATTATTGATGTCTAAATGTTCTTTTGAAATTCATCAAGTTAGCAATTTTTACTTACCTTCATAGACATTTTACAATAAAATTTCTTTAAGCATTAAATTTAGTCTCTTCAGTTAAGTGGATGGACAAATTGAATCAATTTTAAATTTTTTAATCTTCTTCTTTCCTCGGAAAAGCCAGTTCGTTGGATATACTTTTTCAATTCTTTTACTATCATATTTTAAAATGTGATAAGATTTGAAGCACTTTGCTCAATGATCTTGTTAGAATGCCAGAATGCTGACAGAAGCTGAAGGTTCATGTTGTAAGTGATATAACAGCTCTGCCAATCAATTGCAAACATTGTAGTTCTTAATCAAGAACGACGTGGAAGAACTTAGAATCCTCCAATCAAAAAGGAATTCCAAGATAAACTTCCCCATATATATTTATGTAGAATTCATGTGAATTTGATGTTTTTGAAAATGGACACACATTAGGAAAAATTATGCAAATACCTAATTAAAATTAAGCTGAATTGCTGGAATGTTCTGCTCGTAATTAATGACCTTGAATCCGACACAATTCCTTCGGTGTGTCTGCAATCTGCATATCCTGCTACTGCTGTAGGTGAAATAGTGATTGGAGATAACACAATGTTGATTCGTTTAATTTTGTGGATGCTGGGTTGATGAATGTTAAACTGTTGGTGTTTTCATTGTGTGGCCAATTACATAAATATTGGGAGTTTGGTATCACATACAATGTGGATAGTCATAATATGAAATCTAACTTGATTTTAACTTTTTGGAGCTTTTCAGAAAATTATGTGGAAGCTGAACAAGTCAATAGCTAGAGAACTCTTGCCAATAGAACCTGTGGAATTTCTAATTGAACCATGGTGGGGAGTTTGTCTTGTAAACTTCACTTTGGAAGAATTCAAGGTCAGTGGTCTTTTTGTATTTTTCCCATTTGCCTTTTGGATGGTCAAATTCCTGTTAACTAACTTGAGGTTTCTCTGCGCTCTCCTCCTCTCACTTGCTCTTTCTTAGAAACTCTCAGATGAAGAAATGGCAACCATTGACAAAATCTGTAAGGAGGAAGCGAATTCATTCATTCTTTTTGACCCTGAAATAATTAAGGGTCTATATCGCCGGGGCCTTGTGTACTTTGATGTTCCTGTGTATCCTGATGATCGTTTTAAAGGTAACTCTCGGAGCGTAATACTTGAGCAATTCCCATTTGTGTTTCACTCCAGACATCTCCTCATCAGCTCCTCTGGAAACGAAAACCAATCTTGAACTATGGGGAAATCAGAGCAAACATATTTAAAAAACTTTTGATCTGATCTCCCTAATCTACTGAATGGTGCAGCTTTATTTTTATTTTTATTTTTATTTTTTTTTTGGAAATTTTAAATAGGTCTTTAACAATGTTAACATTGACTTTGAACTCAATATAACTTCTATGTACTAAAATTGAGTTTACTTATTGGATCAATATTTGTGATAACATTGCATCTCATGTCCAACCACACTTTCCAATTCACCAAAAAGAATCCACTTAAAACTTTGCCTATGGGGACAGCTTCCATATTTATCCTTCTGTTTAATGCAAAACAGTTGTCAACCACACTTTCCAATTCACCAAAAGTATCCACTTAAAACTTTGCCTATGGGGACAGCTCTCCATATTTATCCTTTTGTTTAATGGCATTTTGGAAGTTTTCATATGACCTTAAACGTTCTGAAATATATGTCACCTATCAAGACAATAAATGTTGTGTAGGTTTCTTATGTACATTTGAAGTTTGTTTCAGGGTCCCTTATCCCCGCCGAATCCTCGTCTAGCACCTAGGCCTACGGCCTCCTTCTTTGTACCAAAAAAAAAAAAAGAAGTTTGTTTCAAAAAGATAAATGTCAGTAGTTGTGGGCATGTGGCTTCTGATTACAATTGAAGACCACTGTTTCAGTGTTTCTGGAGCTTACAGAACTGCCATAAAATCCCAACTGCTAAAATATTTAAAGGGTTTTCCCTGGCCTAGCTTCAATCTGAATGAAAATACTTGACAGCAACTAAACAGTCAAAATGCTTGATAAACATTGAAGCTCCAATGTTGCTGACATGGGATCGTTCTTACAAGTGAACCTTTGACACTTTCTGGTTTTTGTTTATATTTTCATTTTCTATTTTGTTTTCCCACAGTTTCTAGGCTTGAAGGATTTGTTTCAAACAGGGAACAGTTATATGAAGATCCCATTGAAGAGTAAGGCTTCTTTGTAACTCCCTTGTCTTTTTGGCTTGAATGATGAAAAAAGTTGATATTGATTTATGGCTAATCTGGATGTCATAATCCAGGTTGCTTTATGCTGTGTTCGTTGTGTCCAGTGCGAATTCAACTGTTGCTGAATTGGCAACAACTCTACAAGCCGATCTCTCTCAGCTACAGGCTGCTGCATCCTTTGCTTGTCGACTGGGTTGGGCACTGAAGCTTATTGATCCTGCATCTATTTTACAGGAATCAAATGCACCTGCATCTCCTAAAATTATGCTCGGTGATGAAGATGATGGTTCTCATGCTACAATGGGTTCTGGAAATTTGTCTGGTGATGGCAGTGGTCTGCAACCTGGAGATATGTTGTTGACAGAAAATTCTAGTCCAGCTGCTGATTATTCTCGTGTAGCTTTTGTTGTCGATGCTAACATAACATCTTATCTTATGATGGGATCTGTTTCACCAGGTTTGTATTCTATTTCAGCCCCATCCTATTGTTAACGTTCTAAGGAACATTTACATCTCTTGTGAGACTTTAGGTGTTCTTTCTCTTGGAGCCTTCCTTCTTAGGAAGTAGGATACGAAATGATATATATTTATATATAAATCCCCATCAAGCAGCTTAGCATTGTGCCTTGGTTCTAGGGTTGCACCTTTAGTAACTATGCATGTATTAGGCTCTGTCACATCATCGATTTTCACTGTTCGATCTCACTATTTGGTAGTTTTATTGCATTCTTCTTTTTCCCTCTGCGTTTGAGGGTACTTGTTAGTTGCACACTTGTGCTTGCATAGTGTCCCTTGAATTCGTGTGCCGCATCTACATGATTATGGCCTTAGTTTATAGCTGAGTTAACACTATTGTTCTCAAATGTCAATTTCAGGCCTAAAATCTCATGCTGTTACTCTGTATGAAGCTGGAAAACTTGGTCATGCAAGTATTGCGGATCTTTGCAGAGACCTTATTACACTAGAAGGGGCCAAATTTGAAGGAGAATTACAGGAATTTGCAAATCATGCTTTCAGTTTGAGGTGTATCCTCGAATGTTTAACTTCAGGTGGTATAGTTGCTGATGGACGAGAAAAAATTGGTTCAATATCATTGAGCAAAGAAGACGAGACTGCCGACAAATCTAAAGATATTAGAATGGATGAAGCTAAGATGAATGTGGATGATTCTGAGAAACTAATATCTCCTGAGAGTGATTGTTCTGCTGAGCCTTTGACTGAGGGTACTACCTGCTCCAATGCTTTATCCGAAGATAAAGAAATTATGTCCGAGGTTTCTACATTAAATTTTAGTCCACAAGATGACGAATCATCTGATTCTGTTGGAAGTATGGCTGCCAGAAAAGAGACAAGGAAACCACGGAAATATCATGTGGACATTCTTCGTTGTGAAAGCTTAGCTTCTCTGGCTCCAGCTACTTTGGATCGTTTGTTCACCCGTGACTATGACATTATCATGTCCATGATTCCACTTCCTTATTCTTCTGTTTTGCCTGGAGCCAAAGGTCCCATTCATTTTGGTCCCCTGTCTCATGCTTCCATGACTCCCTGGATGAAGCTGGTGCTGTATTCTGCTCTTTCCAGTGGACCTCTTTCTGTTGTTCTGATGAAAGGTCAATGTTTAAGATTGCTTCCTGCACCGTTAGCTGGTTGCGAGAAAGCCCTTGTATGGTCGTGGGATGGATCTACAGTGGGGGGTTTGGGAGGAAAATTTGAAGGGAATTTAGTGAAAGGAAACATACTCCTACACTGTTTGAATTCTCTTCTCAAGTACTCTGCTGTGCTGGTTCAACCTCTAAGTAGATACGATCTTGACGAAGGAGGGAAAGTTGTGACTCTAGATGTTCCGTTACCCTTGAAGAATAGTGATGGTTCAATGGCTTATATTGGTGAGGAACTCGGAGTATGCAAAGATGAGTGTTCAAAGTTAAACTCACTGTTACATGACATTTCAAACAAAATAAATCTGTGGACAATCGGTTATATTCGGCTATTAAGGCTGTTTAAAGAGAGGGATCTTGAAAACTTTTCTGTTTCTGATGAGAAGTATGAATGGGTTATTCTCAGTGCAGAATTTGGAATTCCACTTTTTAGTCCCAAATTATGCAACAGTATATGTAAAAGAGTGGTTTGTTCACAGCTACTTCAGACGGACTTACACAATGAGCATAATGAAGCAATGCAAAACTTGAGAAACAGGTTACGTGATGTTTGTGCCGAATACCAAGCAACTGGTCCCACTGCAAAGCTTCTTTACCAAAGAGAGCAAACTAAGGAAAAAAGTCCATCTCGACTGCTAATGACTTATGCAAGCGGAAAATGGAATCCGCTTGTGGATCCTTCTTCTCCTATATCAGGAGCGTTAAGTGAGAACCAACGATTAAAGCTTGCCAACAGGCAGCGTTCTCGCACAGAAGTCCTGAGCTTTGATGGTAGTACCCTAAGGTGTGTGGGTCTTGGCTACATTATAACGAATGTTTGTTGCTTTCTTTTAATTTATAAAAGTGCATTGCTATTAAGTAATGAGTTATTCTTCCACATGCAGGTTAGATAAATTAAAATCTGTATTTAAATCGTTTCTAATATTTGCTTGGTATTTCCATCCTTCTTGAAAAAGTTCTGAGTAAAATATTCAGTGCTTCTAGAAAGACAGAATTTTAACGATTACAATTTAAAAACTGTCATGGCAACCATGATACTTGAACAATTTTGTGAACTCACAGTATGGCACAATATCAGCTGTGAATGAGTGATTTTATTTTTATTATTATTATTTTTTTTCTGTTTATTGGATGAACTGGATATTAGTCTAGATGTGCTCTATTCACAGATGCTGTATAATAACCCAGAAAAGACGGTACAAGGAAATAAACCTGTTATTTGTGCTATGTGGTTCATTTGTGCTGTTGACCATTTTCCATGAACCTGCTATTCACATTGGCGTAGTGGAGGCAGTAGCACTACTTTAAAAGAGATTGTTTAAGAAATTTGCTTCAATGATCTAAATCTTTTGATGGCCTCATTTTCATCTATATGTCCTGATGTTTTCAACTATCTTGTGTAGGTTCGGAAGAATACTTATACAATTTTCATTATCAATATTTCTTTATCATGTTTTTTGTCTTTTACCTGAAGTAATTTGTGCACCATATTCTGTGACTAGATTCAAAATACAATCACCATAGTTAACACTTGACACCTATTTTGTTTAACTCTATGTACAATCACCATTTGTTTTTTTTTTTTTTTTTTNGAAGCAGCATTGTGAATAATGTATTTCTATATAAAAATTGGATAAATTTGTTTCTTATGTTCCACCTTTTGGTTGAGCTAGACTCATTGAGTCTAAATATAGTTCCTGACAGACAGCCTCTCTCCCTGTGTGTGTGTCATTCAGCGATCTATTTTGGCTTGTATGGAGATTCTTAATATGCTATTGAGTCGGCAGAGCTTTATTTGCAGATCATATTCACTGTCTCCAATTTATGAGGCTGCCTCCAGACCAGTTGAAGATACTCTTGGCATGGCAAAAGTTGAATCTGAGGATGCTGATAGCAAAGAAGTAATTCTTCCTGGAGTGAATCTTCTTTTTGATGGATCTGAGTTGCGGCCTTTTGAGATTGGTGCTTGCCTCCAGGCTCGTCAACCTGTGTCCTTAATTGCTGAAGCATCAGCAGCATCTGCTTCGTTGACAGGCAAACAAAAAATTTAAATCGATTCTCATATCTTCATTTACTTGAATACCTTGTTTTATGAAACCAAATGCACAGTTGCGGATGCTGCTTCATAGATACCGACTCATCTGTTTTTACAACTACAAGCGGGTTCTTCAGGTATGATGAAATTGTTTTTTATTTCATTTAAGATTCTACCATAAAGAAAGAATCTGAAATCTGTTGCACATGCAACATTTTGAGCCGACATTTCAGTTGGTTATACCTAGGCATTCATAAATAGGGAAATCAAGAAAGTAAGATAGGAATCCTCAATCTTTATGCGGTAATCTATAAGGTACGATTAAAAAACAGTTATCATTTCAAAAAGTAATGCAGTACTGCTGGACATACCAATGACGAAATCGGTTTCATTGGTTGCAGGCCTGAGTAATAACTCTGTTCAATAGGAAAGGTGTTTCAAATTATGAGTTTGAAAATTGGTGCTCTGCATGATTTTATCCCTTACCAGTTTGTTAAAATAAAAATACTAATTCAAATGTTTCAAGCTAATTTATGTTTATGGGCGGGCTACAAGCTAAGAGTCGGATAACATAACAATGACTGGACATATAACATGATCCACGTGCAGTTTTAGACTTAAAGAGATTGCCTTTGGTCCTACTTTTAGGCCATATCAGTTTTGTACCTTGTATATATTTACCCATTAACCGCTAGTCATTCCCTCACACATATGCTATTTTTGGTATCATTTTTTAATTTTTTTATTTTATTTTTTTGGTAATCATATTCTATTACATACTGGATTATTAAAAATAAAAAATGGGGTATTGACTGATGAATACTTGATGAAACATGGTGAAAGTGATATAAGAATAAACCAGTGGGTGCTCAAATCGATATGGCCAGAAACAGTGTTATCAAATTTCCCCCGTGTTGCTTTCCCTTGGATTTCTGCCTAACTGCCTTTAGAAATTTGTGAAAAATGGCGGTTAAGGAGATCTCAGTTTGCCGCCATTCATAATTAGTAACACTGTCCAGAAAGTGGGTTACTATCAGTAAAAGTAGGTATAGTTTAGTTATTAATGTTGAAAGCATCCCATATCAAAGTACTATAAGTAGCTCCCTGTCTTCTAACACGAGCAGCATATTTCCACCCTTAATTGCTGAGGTTATGCATGAAATGACTTGTGATGCTAGTTGCATAGAATGTAATATCTTTCCTTCAAAGTTTCAATCCCTTAGAGGCAAACAAACAGAATCATTAGGAAATAAAAAAATAAAAAATAAATCATCATCCTGCTGGGGAAGTTGCGGCAATCTTAGTTGGATATATATATATATATATATATATATATATATATATATATAGATTCTATATCATTGGCTTATACCATGTCATTTATTTTAGTTCTCCATAGATGTCAGAGTAGTATTTTTAAACTCGTAAATTTAGTTTGTTTTTATTTAATTTCTTCTCTATTTTGCTTGTACAGGTTTTGTAGCTGCAGAGTCTGTTTCTGGATATTTTAGGCTGGGTTCTTGTAGGTTGTTGCAAGGAAGAGAGGATTTATTTGATCTGTTATGTAATTCCGAATGCGTGTACATGCCTACATCAGTTTATTTCTGCATTAGGTGGAACGGGAAAAAAAAAAAAAAAATTGTGTTGTTTTTGCACTTCGTGTGCAAAATAATAGTTGCCACTTCTTTATGCTAAAACAGTTCTGGAGTCTGCGAAAGATTAGACAAGGACAACATATGGAGATTATATCTCTAGTGGTATCGGCGTTGGTCAGAATGTAGTGATGTTTTCAAACTCTACCTATTTTGTATCCAAGAGAGGAATCAGAATTCGCAAGCCATTGGGTATCAGTTCTTTATATTCATCTTTAAATTTGCTTTTGTTTCTAAATGGTCGTTATACCCGGATGTACGGCTAATGATTTTAGATGCGAGGATTTTCGAGAGTACAACTATACTAGTTATCGTATGAAAATAACGATGGACCCTTAATACAGTAGCTAATGTTGAGATGGTGCCCGATTGACGTATGTTGTATCTGAGGGTGTTTTTCTGTTCTCCCAAATAATCTCCTTGTCAGATTGTGTGCAATTTGCCTTTTCTATTTATAGAAATTATTTTGTTAGCATGCCAAGAGCTTTTTCCTTGAGACTGGTTCTAGTCGGCTCATTATACTAAATTAGTATTGTTCACGTGCAAAATGCATGGGTGTATTTAAAATAAAGAGAAAATTACTCCTGTCACGAGATAAGATCATTTATATTGCATGTTTACGTTCCAATTAATTTATTTAGCACATTTAACAAAATTCCACCTTTTATTTGCTGTAATACGAGAACCTCATAATTATAGAAACTAACAGATTTAGTGTGATTATTTTATTAAACCTGCCCGGCTAGGCCTTGGCCAAGGCTGGAGGAGTGCTTCCTGTCCCACTCTGCCATCGCGTGAGGGTTGCAGCACCGCCATGTCGTGCTCGCCCGGGGTGGGGCCGTCGTCGGGCATTAGATTGATAAAAGGAGAACTCGATTTGTCGGGTACCGGCGGCGGAGGGTCGAGTACTGATTGTGTTTATATTTTTTATTGATTGTGTTGAGCACTGAAAGTTGTTGATAGGAGACGGCTCGTAGAATAGAAACAAATTAGATCCGGATTTCATCCGTTGCTTATGTAATCTCTGAGACCGTACGACGATTTTTGGCAGTCGATAATGGAGACGGCGGGCGCGCGGATGGGGGACGAGGAGCGTGGATTGGTAGTTTTTGGAGTTTTCTGCAACCTGATGCCTAGATCTGGTGTTGTGGTCAAATTCAACAACTACTTGATGTATATCTTCTGTATATATATGCTTTATATGTATAGTATATTTATACTTTTTTTTTGTTCTTTGTATAGTTGCAGGTATATATATTGTATATTTTGCGTATATATACTGTTTATATTTTTTGTATGTATATGTCATGTATCTATCCAACATAAATGAAGACTGGGATAAAAATGCCGACATAAAAATATTTCTCTCTCCAGGCATGCATCCCGTCAGTTACGGGGATCTGTTATGGTAAGTCATTATGACTTGATCTGTTGCTAATTATATTGTACGTATATAAATAATTTGATTAAGTTAGGTATAAGTGCAATTAAGTTTTATATTTGGTATACATGCAAATAAAATCAATTCATTAAAGCAGAATTGTAAATTCTCCTAAAATAAATATTTTTATCAACTGATGTAAATTGTCAATTAGAAAACTCAATAATAAATTCTATTGATTAAAAAAATATTAATTTAAAAATCCAGTTACTATAATTGTGGAGATTAAAAAATCGGTTGTTTTTTAATTCTAAATTTGAATACAAATCTATTGATTTGGTCACAAAAAATTTAAATTTTAAACTTAAGACTAAACTTATTATTATTGTACTCTTTTTAATAGTTAATGTTCTGAATAAATATTAAAAATCCCTTGGTTCGGCCCATATGTTGTTATTTTCATAGAAAATTGAGCCCGTTTCATTTTATGAAAGCAAAGGCCAAAAAGGTCTGCACAATTCGTCCTGCGCCAAACTCTCGTCAACTCCGGGCACCAATCCAACCCGATCTCTCGTCAGGTCTGAGAGCCAATCCATCAAGTAGCACAATCCAACATATTTTGCCGATCTCTCTGCAATATAAACAACAAACCAATAAAGTAAATTGATAAAGCGACCGCTCAACCGATCCCATCATCGAAAATAGAGATTTTACATGAATATGCGTGTCACTCCCACGTAACCTTAGTTGGTATGAAGCTATCATTACATTTCTACCTTTTTCGTGTATAAATATGATCCTTCAGGTCTCAGAATAGGACAAGAAAATTAAAAGTTTCATGAATACAATATTATTACACCATTTGTTTCTTTTACATCGATTTCCTCTAGATCGCCCGTCTTTTCTTCGTAATATCTTTCTTCTATTTTTTTCGTTACAATTCCTGCACACAACCTAAAAACTAAATAATTAACCCTTAATAACGGTCATCCTGTTATTTTTCATCACTTTAATACCCTATTAATCCGCACCCATTAACTGTGGTTGACGTTCTAACGCCAACAAAATGGCGCTAGAGGAAGGATGCCTTCAAGGGTTACCGTTGAATCTCTCCCTATATATAGCTACGCTCCCTATAACCTTTGCCCCGAGCTAAGAATGATTTCCCTTTCTCAGTTATTTCGACCAAAAGAAAGGATTGCACGACCGACACTCCGAGAAACTCTTTTCGTCCTGTTACTCTGTCCAAATAAATAATCTACAAAAATTCTTTTCAAAATATCATCTTTTTACCTCCTCTCACCATAAAAAATTAGGTTCAAAATCGTCCGTCAATCTCTTATTCGATCACCTTCAACAAGAAGACAGATCGATTAGCTCTCTTCCAACAAGAACATGGAGAAGGTAGAGAAATCGGTCTAAATATAGTAACGGTTACAAAGTAGCCGGATGATGTAAGGATGACTCTGACAAGGATATCCCTTTGTGGTTTTTTCACAAATCTTGTTTTTAGGTCTTGAAATTTTCGATTTAGCGATCAACTTGCTTAGTCAAGCGGTCACTACTTTGTTGTTGATCATAACCATCCGTAGTTCAAATCCCCGAGTTGGTCATAACTAGCATCCAGGCGTCCCGACAAAATAGATCTCGATGAGTAACTTCAACTTTTCGGGCCGAGATGAACCATCAGGATCGGTTAAAGCATCCCCCTCTTCAGTAGGGGTCATCCCAGAGGGCCTCGCCCGACGCTTTCTCAGCTCGACAAAAATAGAACCTGATATGTGCAAAGATGCTCCTAAAAAGATAGATCGGCACAAAAGAAACTTAGACCCATGCATAACAGATCGACCAGAGAATAACATATCAACAGAAAAA